ATGGATGGATGTGAGTGCATGATGCATGATGGCTATATGTATGGACAGAAGGATGAGTACACAAATGTGTGAATGGGTGAATCTATGAATATGGGAAGTAACGGAAGGATGAATAGATGGATGGTGTTCTAGTTTGCTTGCAATTGCTGTGACAAAACACTCTGACCAAAACCAGCTTGGGGAGGAAAGGGTTTATTGGTTTACATCACAATTCATCATCAAAGGAAACCAAGGCAGTAACTCAGGGCAGGAGCTGGAGCACAGGCCATGGAGGAACTGCTTACTGGCTTGCTCTCCTGGCCCCTGCTCAGCCTGCTTTCTTATGCCACACAGGCCCACCTGCCCAGGGGTAGCACCACCCACAGTGGGCTGGGCCCTCCCACATCGCTCAACCATCAAGAAAACGCCCCACAGACACGCCCTCAGGTAAATACAATGGAGGAAATTCCCCAGTTGAGCATCCCTCTACCCAGGTGTGTCAAGTTGACAACTGAAGCTATGCAGCCCAGATGGCTGGATGGTTGGATGAACAGGTGGGTGGAGGGACAGGCAGGTGGATGGATGTGTGAGCACATGGATGGATGGAGGGATGGATGGATGGAAGTGGGTGACTCAATGAATGGGTAGGGGTGGGTGGATGACAAATGAAAAATGAAAGAATGGGTCTCCCACATGGAAAGAACATAGACTTAATGAATTTCCCAAGATGAACTTTCCTTTGCTGGGTGGCCAGCTAAAAAGAGGAAATCCCACTCACTCTTCAAAACAAGGAAAGTTGAATAAACTTGGGAGAGGACTCTTAATCTCAAGGTTTGAAAACAACGTGCTTCAGGGCTCCATCTAGGAAAAGCAGACAGTGTAGGAATCTTTCTTGACCCTCTAGGAGAATCTTAGTTCTTCAAGTACAGAGACAAGGGAAGAAGGCCCTGGAGCACAGGCTCCGTCAGAACCAGCCCCTCACTGTAAAAAAAGGGACGGGGGATGGAGCACAATGTGTCCCCAACTTTCCCCATGTTCCACCACGGTTACCTTTTCAAGGAGACCACCCATGTCCTGAGGGCCTCGGCCCCCATTGTGTCCTTATCGCAGGTGCATTCATGACTATGAGTATTCTGTTCAACTTGGCTTCACCTCCCCAAGGACAGGGGTTCAACTGTCTTGTTCACCTACATAGAGCTTAGTGCTTGGAACCCACAGGTGCTCAGTAAACACCCCCAGTGTGCAGGACCCTGTGGAGAATTCCACTGCACTGCTGACTGAAGAAGGGCCTGGAAGGTACTCCATTCCCATCCACAAGGCAGGGAAATCCATAACCACAAAAGGACCTTGACACATGCTCTGCCCAGACTGGCCCCATACCGCCAAGGACCCTCCATGGAAGAGAGTCCAGTCCTGAACCCTTGGGGACAGATGCAAAGGCAGCTCAGAGCTCAGTCCATCTGTAAAAACATAGGCAGGGAACAGTTAAAAATATATTTCCTCCCTGGCATGGCAGCATACACTTGTCATCCCAATACTTGGGTGGTGGAGGCAGGAGAATCAGTTCAAGACTAGCCTTGGCTACATAGCAAGTATGGGATACATAAAAGCCTGTCTAAAATTTTCCTTTCTACTGGAAGCTGACCACAATTAATGACAGCGTGGTGGCTGTTTGAAGCACAAGGACAGGCTATTAAGATCAAGGACTGCCCAGCTGGGCATAGTGGCACACACCTTTAATCCCAGCACTCGGGAGGCAGAGGCAGACACAGGTGGATCTCTGTGAGATGGAGGAGGCCAGCCTGGTCTACACAGCAAGTTGCAGGCAAGCTGGGGCTACAGGGAGACCCTGTCTTTAAAAAAAAAGAAAAGAAAAAAAGCACTGCTGGGTGAGAGAGAGATGATCTTTAACAGAGTGACTCTAGATAGGCTGACTAGAGTCTAGTGGATGAGCTTTCACCAAGGGACAGCTGGGTAAAAAAGCTTGACTTGACAGACCTTAGCATATACGACAGAATGCAAGAAATCCAGTGGGGAGGTAACAGAGGGATGCAGATGAGGTAGGGGGTCTAAATATGATCAAGATGTATTGTGTAAAATGTACAAAAATTGGGGGCTGGAGAGATGGCTAAGCAGTTAAGAGCACTGACTGCTCTTACAGAGGACCCCGGTTCGATTCCCAGCACCCACATGACAGCTACAAACCACCCTTAGCTCCAGTTCCAGGGGAATCCGAAGCCCTCTTCTGACCTCCGTGGCATTGCACGACATGGGTGCACTCACATACATGCAGGCAACACACTCATACATGCAAAATAGAAATAATTTTTTTTGTCTTTTTGAGACAGGGTCTCCCTGTAGCCCCAGCTGTTCTGGAACTCACTATGTAGACCAGGCTGGCATTGAACTCACAGAGATCCGCCTGCCTCTGCCTCCCAAGTGCTGGGATTAAAGGCGTGTGCCACTATTTTTTTTGAGAAAGAAAAGAAGAGCAGGATCATAGGCCAGTAGGATCAGTAGGGTGGTTCAGCGAGTAGAGGTGCCTGAGTTCAATCCCCAGAACACACATGGTGGTAGGAGAGAACTGACTTCCCCATGTCCTTTGACCTCCATGCGTGCCACAGTGCATGCTCACACAAAATAAACAAATAAAAAATCCAAGAATAAAACAAGAGTGAGGGCCAATTCTCAATCACCACGTCAACCAGCCCTGGGCTGTTCACCTCCTGTGTGTGTCCTGAACCCTGGCGAACACAGCAGTGATACAAATCACACTAAGCCCAGGGCATGGCATCTCTGAGGTACAATGAGTTGTTCCCCCAATATGGAGGCCCTCACCGCCACCTCATGAAGAAAACCAAGGTCTAACGTGGAACGTGAATTGCCCAGGGTGGGCCGCAACTGAAGGCAGCCACGGGAGCCCCACATGGAACAAAGCTCTGCCCACTACCTACTATGGGAGCCTGGCCTCGGGGCCCCCTCCTTCCCCAGCCCCAGCCTCCCTCGAACCCCCACTCCTACATGGAGCCACAGTGAATGCTGTGGGCCATATGTCTGTTCCCTCCTCCCTACCCTAAAAGCAAACTCATACTGAAATCTCCACCCACAAGCAGATGGTGGTAGGACAGGGTCTACCATGACCTTCACAATCACGGAACCTTCCTGAATGGGATTAGTGTCTTTATGAAAGGGACCCCAGAGAGCTCATACTCCCTCTACTCAAGGACTCAGCCAGCCAGAAGGTGTGTCTGTGACCCAGGACCAGGCCGGTGCCTGACATTTAGTCTGCAAGCATATGCTCAGCCACCAGCAACTTCAAGAAGGAAGTTCCCGGTGCACTGACCCTGGCCCACAGTTTTCTGTTACAGTAGCCCCTGTGGACAGAGTCAGTGACTGGTGGAATGCCACAAGCTCAGGCAGAGGACGCGTTCCCTCTGACAAGCACCTCTCTCTTGTTTTTGAAAGACACATATTTCCATACCAAATAAGGCCGCAAATTCCATCGCCTCTGCCCACTTCACACAATTCCTTTTAAGTGTCCAAGCACAATTACACTTGGAACGTGCCTGACTTCGGCCTCCCCCATTCTCTCCGTGTAAACAAGTGGCCCAGCTGGGACCCAGCTGCCTGCCCTAGGGGAGGAGACTGGGTCACTGTCCTCCATGCTGCCTGCCAGCCACCAGCAGGCTCAACCTGTGTCCCCCAAAAGTCCCTGGGGCAACCATCCAAGGCTCCTGGTTTTCACTGTGCAAGGGACAGGGTGGTGTCTCCCCAGGGGGGAGGCAGAGGCTCCTGTGCAGGAAGAGGAAGAGGTCTATCTCTGGGCCTCCTGCAAGATGCCCACAAGACACCATTCACTCCCACAGGGAAAGTGTAGAATTTTCTTGGGCTTCTTGGGTCATGAGAAAGTTGGCCCAGGGCAGAAGGGGGCCTCAGCACCCCACCCTCATGGCAGGCCACCCCTCTGGTCCTTCCATACCCGCCCAGTCTTGGGCTCTTTGCCCTGATCACTAACTTGTTCCAGGACCCCCTCACTGGGGGAGGCTGACTCATCCTCACTGAGCACCGCACACACCAGGCACCATGGCTAGCCAACTTTCCGGCTCGGTCCAAGGGAACAAGGGCTGTGATTTTCCACTTGTGACATCTGATTGTTATTAGGGCTGGGGAAAAGGGAATTCCTGGTTCCACAGGCCTCAGGGGCGCGCAGGCAGATTCCAGGATGGGAAGGAGAGAGTGAGTGCCATCTGGTTGGTGCAGCCATCTCTTGGCCACCCTCCACACCTCCATGGGCATCCCTCACCTGCTGCTCCCTGGCTTCTCCGTGCCAGCCCCAGTCAATTCAAACAACTTCAAACAACAGTGTGGACCCTCCCCCTCATCTTGCCCTCCTACATGCCCTGAAATGCCCACTGAGAGCTGGCCAAAGGCACCGGGCAAGTGAACCCCGGAGCTCCCTCTTTGTGGCGGCCCCCTGAAACTGCAGGATATGAGAAATACTAATAGCTGGACTCAGGCCCCAGTGCTCAGGCCAGAGTGATGTCACCAGGCAGAGAGATGAGTTCCCAGTAGGGCCAGGGAGGGGGGCTCCTGAATGAGGGCATTCCTTCCCAAAAGAGCTGGCCAAAGGCACCGGGCAAGTGAACCCCGGAGCTCCCTCTTTGTGGCGGCCCCCTGAAACTGCAGGATATGAGAAATACTAATAGCTGGACTCAGGCCCCAGTGCTCAGGCCAGAGTGATGTCACCAGGCAGAGAGATGAGTTCCCAGTAGGGCCAGGGAGGGGGGCTCCTGAATGAGGGCATTCCTTCCCAAA